TGGATTGGATGGTCGAGGGAGGGTAGAACTGGGGATGCTAAATTTAGCAACGAGGGCAGGGAGGAAAAACGCCACTTTTAGAGACAGCGATTACTAAAGCCCATGGGACGCTGGAGGGGAAAACCAAAGAATTCTAGGCGAGAACCGGGGGGGGGGGGGGGGGGGGGGGGGGGGGGGGGGGGGGGGGGGGGGGGGGGGGGGGGGGGGGGAAGGAGGGGAGGGAAAGAGAGGAGAGGAGAGAGGAGAATGAGGAGGAGGGGAAAAGTGGGCGCTTGTAGATGACACCACCTGCAGGACAAGAAGGCAGAAAGCAAAGAGCAGAAAGCAGAAACACACAGACTGAGACTGACAGACAAAAGGATAAGAAAGAACCAACTAACTTAAAAGGATGGTGGAGCGAGTGAGGGCGAAGAAGGGCAGGCAGAGGCCAGCGTCGGAGATTACCTTGCCTAGTGTGTAGTTTTAGTTAATCGATGCGTTAAGGATCACCGAGGCGCAGTTCCGGGGAGGAGGAGGGGGGAGGGGGGGGGGGGGGGGTAAGAAATGTAGGGAGGGAGACTCACGGGTCTTTTTCCGCCCTCTGCTTTCTTGAGAATCGAAACACGGAAACACGTTTCAAAAAGAGAACTCTTCATGCAGACAAGCCACTCAATCTGTCTTATCGCAACATTGCCGCGCGGTTGATCTGGGATCGATCATTCATGACAAGTCAATCCGGAGAGAATAATGAAGAGTGAAGACTCGCCGGGAAGCACGTGACAATCCACGCGTGGCTTAGTGTGTTTCAGTCAACGATGCCTCAGGCGATCCCTGTTTGGGATACACTGCCTCAGGTTTCATCCTTGCTTCCTCCCTCCTTCTTTCAGTCACCGTACATACGGTACCTGCCTACCTACATACCACAACCACCACGCCATTGCTACAACCATGCACAGCCAGCACATTCAACACAACGCCCCCCCTACAGCAAAGGCCAAGTTCTAGCGGTATGCCAGCGTATGCCAGCGGGAATTCTTGGCGGTTCTCCTTCCCCCTCTGGCTACATCTTGAAACCTTCCAGCCTGATGGTGCTGCGCTACGCCAGGCTCAATACCTACAATAACACTACATTCTTGTACAATCTTACTTAGAAGGAAATTTTCAAAGAGACCAAAATTTTTAAAGGTTAAAATGTCTATTGATCAAATCAAGGAAACTAAAATAACATCAAGCGATCGTGCTCGTACTGCTCAGCCAGCCGAGCAGCAGGAACAATAAAGAAAGAATGGCCCCCAACAGGTCACAATTGTCTGATCTGCCATGACCTTCAGGACAGGGCGTTTCATGCTCGACTCTCGATCGCTCTCTCCTCCCGGAATATGCAAGGGAGAGCATACTTGTGCCCCGAAGTCAAGAACAGCACACTCAAACTGGTGTACTGCTTGGATAAACGGTCTTATAGATCGTCAAGAAGGTGGTTTTGGAGGCTGGCTCGGACGGTGCGCAGGCTGGCTGGGACGATGCGGAGGCTGGCGCTGTCGAGGATGGCGATGGCACAGGCTGGCTGGATTCACCACCCACGGCCGGGTGAGAACCCATGATCTCAGCAAATTGCGATGGGATCGAGGCCTTATCCAAAGGTTGGTCGTCCACATAATCTGCAGTTCCAGCCTTGACGTGCGTATGCGTCGCAACATTGTCCACAACATCCACGTCGATGCAGGTGGTATAGATCTCCTGCTTGCCGTTGGGCAGCGTGTCCGTCACACCAGGCGCAGTCGGCCAGTCCCAAACCCAATACAGGGTATACGGCTTGCCGGACGGCGCATTCGCGGGTAGCGCGATATCCTGCTGACACCACAGATCGGCGCCCATGGTCTGGTCGGCCACGTGAGGAAACTCGGCCTGGCGATGCTCGGAGATATTCCCGGAGTTGATCTGGTAGCACCGGCCGTCATCGAAGTTCTGCTCCGACAGAAGCACGCCTCGTCGGTCGCCTCCCGTGCCGTCGCGATTCCAGACGCGGTGAACGTCCAGGAGCTTCTCGTCTGCCTTGGGCTCGGTGGTTCCGTACACGTATACCGTGCCCCGATTCGGGGGCTTTCCCGGCTGCGTCCCGGGGAGGGTCACATGGCCGTTTTCCTGGAAACGAAGAGCGATGGCCGCGCCCGCGCTGGCCTGCAGTCGGGGGTTACCTTCGGTCTGTCGGTACAACTGCTGGCTGTCCTTGCACATCTTGTCGGTGGGAAGGATCTCGCTTTGATTGGCCCGGCCGTTGGGAGGGATGAGATACGTCATATCGGTATCGCTGAAGCCAGAGGCGGTCCGCTGGACATTGCCGCGGGGGTAGCCAGTTGCTCCGACGAAGGTTCCATTTGGCGCGATGACCGTCAGTTGTTCCACCCAGGAGTGTGCGTTCGCAGTCGACAAGCCCAGGGCGAGCAGTAGCCCCCCCAATCCCGTGCCACGGATGAAGAGCATGTTTGCGTCTTTTCAAACTGTGGTGATTTCTGAACGCTTCGTCAAATCGTTGTTCTTGTGAGGAATAGCAAGTTGAGACACCGGCCAGCGGGGTTGTCTATCAAGAAAACTTGGTGGTTGGTTTCTGCGTGTGGTCAGTGGATGGCAATGGTGGTTTGTAGAAGGCAGGGGTGATTCATACATAATTTATAGCCTCATTGTGACAAGAAGGGCCTTATGTATCTTCTCTTGTCGTCTAGTTCGCTGGAGTGTTCCACTCAAAGACAATTAACTGACCGCGATGGACAATGGCTATCTAGCGGAGAATCACAGTGTACAATAAAACAAACACAAAGGAAACGGGAGTCATTGGGTGTTAATAATGACATTGAAGGAGAGTGCCCGTTCCAGATATTGTCGCCCTCCGGGGCCTTATGATCAAATTCACTTCCCAAAAGAAATTAGGAGTCAAAGCAGTTGTCCAATATTATCCAGTTGTTTGAAACAAAAAGAGAATGAGGAAACTCGGCCAGGCTGCGTCAGTCATGAGAGGCTCGTTTCTGTAGGCGCTCCGGGACAATGCAATAACATGATCATGACTGGAATAGATCCTTGATGAGCATCGCAGGACCAATCGATCCCCTTGGAAGCGCTACCAAGCTTTTTGTGGCCCTAGGTGATCCGGAGAAAGACGACAGCCATGATTCGTCGCGTCTTCAAAGTCTAGCGCGGAAGGGGGGGGGGGGCAAAGGGCATGAAGAAGAAGACGATCAGACCGGTCAGGTCTTGATGGGATTTGCGACACTAAGTGAGGTCTGAAATTAGCAACGGCGCCTAACCTGGGCCGGAATATAATCTCTTACTGACAGACATTCGCCCTCACGGATGGACCCGTTGTTGCAGAGTTGCAGACGACGCAGCAGTCCTTTGATCCTGCCCCATCCGCGGCACACTCGAGCACCTAGGGGCTGTTGGTGTTTATTTGGGGTAGCTTAGCGATGTACCCCCCATATCCATGAGCAAAGCTGTCTAGCTTGACGGCGCGCATTGGTATTCAGCAACCAGCCGGGCAGACATTTACCCAGCCAGGTGTTGCATGTTTATGTTTTAGGCGCCTGAGGAGTGAGTGTTGAAACATGGCCGCGTCCCGCCCTCGCCAGCCCTAGCAGATTCCCGGACGGCTGGGAACAGTCGATCTGAAAAGCAGAAACTTACCCGGGCGGGCATGACTGGGATATTCTGTGAGCTTTGTGCATGAATCTTGATTATTTTCGCTGAAGAACAGTTCCTGCGAAAACTGAGAGTACTATCTATGACTGTGAAATGCAAGATGCAAATAAAAAAAGGTTCCAGCACTGCGGCTCATGTATGGAACTGACAACAAACCCCTTCTAGATCCTCCCGCCCGCCCAATGATCCAAGTTAACTACTCCGTACTTAGTTTCACTACCGAAGTTATAGCTATAGAAGTGTACTCTAGTACTCCGTACATACAGTACTATACCTACTGGACGTGACACGATTCATTGACAGACTTCTGAAAAATCTACCTGTCTGGTCAAGGGGCTGAGATAACTCGGGTCGACTAAGTCACCAACTCACCGACCTCACAATGTTCTTGCTTGGCATTGGAAATGACCCCCCCCCCCTCCCCACTTCACCTTCGTCTCGTCTCTGGATCAAACAAGACCACAGCGTCGCCGTGGTTCCATCGCCCAACTAAGGTAGTGAGTACCCATCAATTGATTATCGGTCCTCAGGGGAAAACCCGACCCCCGAACACGCATTAACCGTATGTACATCCAACATTGCGACTTGCGAGACCGACATGAAAGTCACTCATGTCATGACATTAGATCAACAGCTCAAATTACCATACTGCCCTGAGAAAATACCCAAGTACGTAGCGACTTGTTGCGTGATCTCATCCGGGTCCAAGCTCGTTACGTGTCAAGAGTGCCAGACCCGCAGCTGAACTGGTTTTTTTCCCTGCCGATTTCCGGACTATCTACCGGGGAGTTTTTGTTTTCTTCTTATTTTTTCTCTGTTGCCTGGGGGGGATCAACCTTGCTCGGGTTAGCAAGACGTTCTGATGGTCAGCATACAACAACGTTTTTGACAGGACTTTTTTTTCTGTCTGTCTGCCACGATTTCACCGAAGCGCACAGAGAAATTTAGGTCAGGCCTAAACCCAAAGTAACCGTATGTGAGACAGATGGGGATCCCTTCCCCCCCTCTCTTCGCCAGAAGAGATGAAGAGATTGATTAGATGAAAAAGGGTGGGTAGGCTGTGTTATCTCCGATGAATCGCAGCCCTTCAGTGGCCCCCGACGGTCTCGGTTTCCACCATTCGATCTCCACCCCGGCAGACTGAGGGAATATCGGGCTACGGATGCAGTCTTGGAATTTTTTATCAGATGGAGGGGTTTTGGTCTCCTACGGCTTTCGAAAGCGGGATGCCAATTAACCACCAAAGGGCGGAATGGGGATGGAGGGGGGAGGGAGCTTGGAAATTACCTAACGCATTGAATAATAATATTACGACTAATTTAGACTGGATTGTGTGTGATTGCTCTCTGCTGGAACCAGGATTGCCCTTGCCACCATTTCAGCCAACTGGATCGGGGGAATGAGTGCATGCGGTGCTGTACGCTGCTGGCATGGACAATCAGAGAGATGATCTGCTGGTGGTGGTGGTGGTGGTGGCCAGGGTGCTTTGCTGCTGGACTTCCTTGAAGTCATCATGATCAGACCAAATGTGGTCCATGGTTAGTAGGTATCACCAACCAGTACCACAATCCGTATTTCTCTGATGACGTTTGTGATACCGATGTGTTTGGAGGTGTTCAGCTTCACTCGGACACCAAAAACGCTCTCCCCAATCTCATACATTCCGACCGCTTGACCAGCTGCGGCAGAGCGCAGCAAGCCGAGATCTAGAAAAAGAGGTTGGCCTGACATGCGGGTCGCTATTTGGCCCGCATGTCGCTGTTTGGCTGAAGTGTTTGGATTTCACGAGAGAACTGCCGTCTTTACTACCTTACGAGTGCTGAATCATGAATGCCTTGTCTGATCTGCCGACCAGTAGAGAAGTGGCTCTTAGAGTTGAGCAGAGATCCAATGACGGGTCTATAACCGTATAACTTAACGGGAGCTGGGCCACATGGATACCCTTTCCTTCGGGCTCGGGTTCTCTTGGAGGAGAAAAAAAGTGGCTGTAAGTACGGAGTAGGGTAGGTTACTGTACAGCGCTCCGTATCTTAGTTTGCTTATTAGACTGTTTTCTGATCACTGAGGTTTGGAAGCCTTCTGTCCCTTCGGTGAGATTGGGCAAAGGCTCGCTCACACTCACATACTATCCATGTATTATGTACTGTACATGCACACTGCAGATACACCATCCAACATTGAACATGCAAGGTTAGTCTGCAAGCGGCTGCAGAATCTGTAGAATGCTGATCTCAGAACAACGCTAACCAATCCTACTTTACAGACTTGCAGCTGGCATCATTTGTGCATCCTCCACGTTGGGATTAATTGTTGCGGCTTCCTCCCGATAAGCGGAGTATGTGACCACCACAGACTAAACTAGAAGTAAGTTAAGTACGGAGTAAGTTAATCTCGTAAAGGAAAAGAAGGAAAAAAAGGGAGGAGAAAAAAAAGAAAAAGTGGAAAAAGGGAAACCGAAAAAACCACTATCAATTTGTACTAATCCCGATTAGGTTATCTCCATTGGAACTTGTCCCGGTAGTCGCTATTGTTCCCAATTCTTCTTTATGCTGGGTTGCCCCCCCCCCCCCCCCTCCGCTCTCTCTCTCCCCTTCCTCACTTCTCACTTCTCTCCGCTCATTTTCCTTTTATCCTTCCTCTTCCTCTCCTTCTACACCTTCTATATTCACTATATCACCTACTACTAGATCCATTGATCTTGTGGTAGTAGCCCGATAAGTGAACTGTCGGTTGTATCCCAACGCGACCAGTGTACTTTTGAGCCACCTCGGCACTGCTGCGGTCCGTATTCCCGCAGTGCCATCGATTGGCTGTCTTTGTTGGCCGAACCTGTGGCTTGGTTCAGCGGCGAAACTCGCGGATTTACTTAATCCCACCGCCTCTGTGGCTGCCTAGTGGGAGTACTTCCACCCTTGCTTCTTTCAGGGGCCCGTGAGCGAGTCAGGAAGTCCCAGAAGGGGTAAGAAAAAAACCTCAAGAATCCAGTTGCTTGGGATCTTATATCAGCCCAACGCAGAGGTTGGACTTTGGACGTTTTGCTGTCAGGTAAAGCCACTCCGACCCCCTCGTCCGCCCTTACTTGCCCCCCCACCGATCGCAAAGCTCATCGCATTGCTCTTTTCTTTGTTTTTAGACCCGATAAGCAACGGCCACTCTCGCTCCTCAATCCCATGCCATTGACTTTTGGGGAGGTGCTTGTTCAGATCTAAAAATTCAGATCATCGTTCGCGTGAACTAGTGCGATACGTTCGGGGGCACTCTTTGGCGGAATCTCAACGCGTGGACCATCGCCCTCCCGACTCGACTAACTTCTCCTTTGACACTCGGTCCACACCGCTCCTTTGGACTCAATTGTCCAACTTCCATAAGCAATCATGGCTTCGACGTTGATTCCTCGCAAGTCGCGTACGGCAGAGGAAGATCGCGATGCTGAGCCCGGATGGCTCAAGCGTCAAGTTACCAGCGGTCTACAGTTTATCTCCCGCCGTGCCTGCCTTCACCCGATTCACACCATCGTTGTAATTGCCCTTCTGGCCAGCACCACCTATGTTGGTCTGCTGGAGGGGAGCCTTTTTGACTCGTTCAAGAACCCGCGCAATGTACCCGGCCAGGTCGATGTGGACACTCTTCTCAGAGGCAGTAGGAATTTGCGCCTGGGAGAGAGTACCTCGTGGAAGTGGCAAGTTGAGGATGCTCCGACCATCCAAGACTCTGAGGTGAGCATCTGCTTGATCGATCTATCTGTGTTTGTTCATGCACTGATCCTTTCGTTCCGATAGTCCGCTCAGCACATGGCACTTGCTACATTTATCTTTCCCGACTCGGTATCTAAGTCAGTGTCGACCGCCCCTCTAGTCGACGAGGTCCCCATTCCTGCGAATACATCTGCCCAGCGGGTTCCTCATACGCCCAACCTGTTCTCGCCTTTCTCCCATGACTCGTCTCTCGTGTTCACTCTTCCTTTCGAGCAGGTCTCCGATTTCCTGAAGGCCGTGCAAGAGATCCCCGAACCTTCAGCTGGCGCGGGAGAAGGAGAGCAGAAGAAATGGATCATGAGGGCAGCTCGTGGCCCGGCTTATGGCTCGACTGGAGCCCTCAAGCTGTGGTTCGCAGACGCATGGAACTCATTCGTTGATCTGATCAAGGTATTTTCCCACAAAATGTAACCAGCCTAATGACTTGATTGCTAATTGTCTGTAGCACGCTGAGACCATTGACATCGTCATTATGACCTTGGGATACCTTTCTATGCACCTCAGCTTTGTTTCCCTTTTCTTCTCCATGCGCCGTCTGGGATCGAACTTCTGGTTGGCTACCACCGTTCTTTTCTCTGGTGCTTTTGCCTTCTTGTTCGGACTTTTGGTAACCACAAAGCTTGGGGTCCCTATCAACATGCTCCTGCTGTCTGAGGGCCTTCCATTCCTGGTGGTGACCATTGGATTTGAGAAGTCGATCATCCTCACTCGAGCTGTCCTGAGCGCTTCCGTGGATAGGAAGCAAGGCGCCCGGGCTGGCAACAACCCCAGATCCATCCAGGACTCTATCCAGACTGCTATCAAAGAGCAGGGTTTCGAAATTGTTCGCGATTATTGCATTGAGATTGCCATTCTTGCTGCTGGTGCAGCTTCTGGTGTCCAGGGTGGCCTAAGGCAGTTCTGCTTCCTTGCTGCTTGGATCCTGTTTTTCGACTGCCTCTTGTTGTTCACCTTCTACACTACGATTCTCTGCATCAAACTCGAAATCACCCGTATTAGACGCCATGTTGCGCTCCGCAAGGCTCTCGAGGAAGATGGGATTACTCAGCGTGTTGCCGAGAACGTGGCTTCCAACAATGACTGGCCGAGAGCTGGATCGGAGTACAATGGCAACAGCGAGACCAGCATCTTTGGCAAGAAGTTCAAGTCCAGCAACGTCCGTCTCTTCAAGATTCTGATGGTTGGCGGTTTCATCTTGATCAATGTGGTGAATTTGACGGCTATTCCTTTCCGGGATTCCGCTAGCATCCCCCTTCTGTCGCGCGTTTCCAATGTTTTGGCTCCTACCCCCATTGACCCTTTCAAGGTCGCTGAGAATGGTCTTGACTCCATCTATGTCGCCGCCAAGAGCCAAATGCAGGAGACTGTCGTCACGGTTATCCCTCCCATCAAGTACAAATTGGAGTATCCCTCTGTCCACTATGCTGCGCTTGGAGAGAGCGCAGGATTTGAGATTGAGTACACCGATCAGTTCCTCGATGCTGTCGGTGGGCGTGTGATCGAAAGCCTTCTGAAGAGCATTGAGGACCCGGTCATCAGCAAGTGGATTATCGCTGCCTTGACTTTGAGTATCATTCTGAATGGCTATCTCTTCAACGCGGCCAGATGGAGCATCAAGGAGCCCGAAGCTGCACCCAAGATGGAAGCCCCGAAGCCCAAGGTATACCCCAAGATCGACCTGAACAACCAGGATGGTCCCACGAGGAGCGCTGAAGAATGCGAGCTTTTCCTGAAGGAGAAGAGAGCTGCCTTCCTATCGGATGAGGAGCTCGTGGATCTCTCCCTGAAGGGCAAGATCCCCGGTTACGCTTTGGAGAAGACCATGGAAAATGAAGATCTTATGAGCCGCCGTGACGCTTTCACTCGCGCAGTCAAGATCCGTCGATCTGTCGTGGCCAGGACTGCTACCACGTCTGAATTCAGTGGCTCCTTGGAGGCCTCCAAGCTCCCCTACAAGGATTACAACTACACTCTGGTTCATGGAGCTTGTTGCGAGAACGTCATCGGTTATCTGCCTTTGCCTCTCGGTGTTGCTGGTCCTATGCTCATTGATGGTCAAAACTATTTCATTCCTATGGCGACCACCGAAGGTGTCTTGGTGGCTAGTACCAGTCGAGGTGCTAAGGCTATCAACGCTGGTGGTGGTGCAGTGACTGTACTGACTGGTGACGGTATGACCCGTGGTCCTTGTGTCGGTTTCCCTACCCTTGCACGAGCCGCAGCCGCCAAGGTTTGGTTGGATTCAGAGGAGGGCCAGCGCGTTATGACTACAGCTTTCAACTCCACTAGCCGCTTCGCCAGACTGCAGCACATGAAGACTGCCCTCGCTGGTACTTATCTGTACATCCGATTCAAGACAACGACAGGTGATGCCATGGGTATGAACATGATCTCGAAGGGTGTCGAAAAGGCACTCAATGTCATGGCTACTGAGTGTGGCTTTGACGACATGGCTACGATCTCTGTTTCGGGTAACTTCTGTACGGACAAGAAGGCGGCTGCTATCAACTGGATTGACGGCCGTGGCAAATCGATTGTGGCCGAGGCTATCATTCCTGGCGATGTTGTCCGGAGTGTGTTGAAGAGTGATGTCAATGCCCTCGTTGAGCTGAACACCAGCAAGAACTTGATCGGAAGTGCCATGGCTGGAAGTATTGGCGGCTTCAACGCCCACGCATCCAATATTGTTACTGCGATTTTCCTTGCTACTGGTCAAGATCCCGCCCAAAACGTGGAAAGCAGCAGCTGTATCACTACCATGAGAAAGTGAGTGGACACCCTCAAAGATTTACTACATTATGCTAATCTACTGTAGTTTCAACGGCAACCTTCAAATCGCTGTGTCGATGCCTTCCATCGAAGTCGGAACTATTGGCGGTGGCACAATCCTCGAGGGACAGTCCGCCATGCTGGATCTCCTCGGCGTGCGTGGCTCCCACCCGACCAACCCCGGCGACAACGCCCGCCAGCTGGCGCGTATTGTCGGCGCGGCTGTGCTTGCTGGTGAGCTGAGCTTGTGCTCTGCCC